TTATACGTCTGGGCACCTAACGGCATTTCGAAGAATGTTGTTTACCATGAAGTGTTGGACTGACGGTTGTATCTTCCGCTTTCCTTACGGTTCCTATTAATACCCCATTTATGACCGTTCCTCCTGTAATTCTTTAGTCATTCGAAATTCGGCTTTTTTTGTTCTTCCCTTGCCCTTTCACCCTACCTTCGTCTTTCCCATTATTACTTTTACGTGTGTCCTCCTTCCTGTTCCCTTTGACATCTACCGCGTTTTCCCTTAATGGTTATGTACGTCACTCCATCCGGTGCCACAATTACAGTTCTCCGTCTTTCCATACCGTTCTTCATTCCTGGTTGCTTATCCCTCGTACGTATTAATTGTTTCAAAAGGTTTTACTGCAGAGGAAACTTGCCTTTTTCCTTCATAAAAGGACAACAACGGTAAGGAAGCCAAGGCGAAGCCGGGCTTCCGCGCTAGTTGTGACTAAAATGACTTCAGGATAGTCTTCTTGGTAATCAGTACTGCAACTTTCTTCAATGCCGATTAGCGAAAGAGTATCAATATTTGGCATGTGTCGGCATGTTACACGAATTCCAGGCCGTACTTAATACGGATTCGCGGTAGGACCCCGAGTGAATTCACTTAAAGCTATCGATCAAATGGCTTTTGACCAATCAACCAGCGCAATGCTCCACAGCAACTGAGGTAGCTGTCACACGGCTTCAGGTATAGCAGTGTCATATATGATAACGGCCAGCGCAGGTCTATAGCATCGGTGCACCCATAGGAGCCTCTCAGCAATAGTTATGATGTGATGCCCTCGGTCTTCTCCGCCCGGCAGTCTTTTACTAAGGCCCATTAAAAGGCTACTTTTTAAAATCAAACTTTGACCTTTTTTCCTTCCCCGCAGACTGTGTCGCGCTCCCAAGCCTGCCGTATGGGTGAGGATAATCTGGCCAGAATTTTCGGTCCCACAATTGTCGGCTACTCCTCTTCCGACCCCACAGCCATGCAGATTGCCAGTGAAATACCCACTCAACAGTTGGTAAGCTATGAGTTCTTGTCATGCCTTTCTTTAGCTGGCGTTTCAGTCGTTTTTATCCGTTCTTTGTTTCAAAAAATGATCAGACTCTGTCCGTCAGCCCATGTCCGCACACCCCACTTCATGTTTTTTGAGTTGTGAACGCCCTTTTTGATAGAGCCTGTGCATGTTGTCCGATATTTCCCCTTTTATGCTCTGCGTGCATACTTGTACTTGCTACGGCTGTGATCACGTGTAATCTGCCCGGCCTCGATGATGTCAAGAACTGTACCTTTGCAAAGATAACAATCCGCGGCAGCAGATTTGAACAGTTCGACCCATTCTCTGCCAACAGCAGAGACCAAATACCGAAGATCCAAAAAACTCTTTAGTGTCTGGACGAAGGCTGTTGATCCGGCTTTTTAGTTGCCCCCCCCCTCGGCGCCTCCAGGTGGGTAACGCTACCGGATCGAAGTGAGTAACACTGAACTCGTGGAATAAACGACGAAGAACTTGGTCAATCCACCTATGTCTTTTTTCTTTAATGGCCTGGGTTACCATGGTAATTTAGCAACCATTGTAGTAGATTATCTCATTTGGGGCGCAGTAGGGGTACCTCACTCGAAAGATATTGATCAAGTAGTAGTTGTTAAACACCTCCAATTTTCACTCTTCTTCGTAGCATTCGCAACCATGGAAGGGGACAGACTATACGGATACACGGTGTATGCCAATCTTCGTGGCCACGGAGATTTTGCATCGGATCCAAAAGCACTTTCGAAGACTAGAAAAACCCCGCTGAGCATGATCGATTCAGAAGAAACTTTTAACCCATCCATTCACCAACAGTCTCTCCCGGGATCTTTTCAACTGTCTCCTTTTTTAGGTTGACAGCCATTAATCACGAGAGTTGCCTTCTAGTCGGGATGCAGCTTAAAAACACCGGTCTCCCCACCGTTTATGGATAAACTGACGGATTTATCAACCCCATTCATCAGTGTTCAAACTCAACACCGTAATCCTGATGTAGGGCTTTGTCGAGACTAGTCAATAGCGTCGTTTAACCAGATGGGCGACAGCACCCAACTATGTCGAAAACCAGACCGAATACCGAACGGTTGGGAACGATGGTTATGGACCAGGACTCGCGCAATGAGAGCGGTAATAGGCTTTGCTCGTAACGGTCTTTTTTGCCGGTGTACCATCTAGTGCCATTATCCGCCACAGGGGTTCACGATGAAAGAAATCGAACGCGGTTAGCAAAACAGACCCTCGTTGGTCGCTGGTAGCTATCACGCTTCCTTACGCGAAATTATATGAGACGCTGATCTATCGGGCGATTTGTCAAAAACCTTGTTCAGGTGAGTGTCAACCGGGGGATTGTTGGTGGCCTTCACACCAGGAATCCAAATGGACTCAGTTGTATGTGAAACAAATTTTCACCGAAATGACTAGACCAATTGTTGACATCATCCCATAAAATGAGCGATATGGGATTAGGCCGTTCTCATAGGCCAGAACTGTACACCACGTTTCTCTCCGCCTCTAATTCTCGTTACGCTCGCTTTTACTCCTTGCCCTTCAGGTTGTTCGCCTCCTGTTTTCTGTTCCGGACTCTGTGTTCTCCACGGTTCTCAACTCCCTCAATGGCTCAGCCAGGAGCAGCTGCCAGAGCGGTAAGAGCGGTAGCTCCTACTTCCAACCACTGCCCATATCGGTCGGTGTGGGCAATAATGGTGACAGCGCGATGCCTGCCTCTCAGCTTCCTGCGTCTGTGACGACTACTCACAATGACGTTACCACCCAGGGCCGCTTCTTTGAAAAACTCTTTTCACGGAATCGGGATTAGTAGAGGCGCCGACATTGTATTCATCCTACTGCTGCTGCCTCTTACTTCTCCATTTTGTAATCATTTTTACTTCTCCTAGCTCAACAGCATTTAACATATACTGGCTTTTTTCTGCCTTCTCAACTGTCAGTGTTGCTACCTTTCACGGAACACGTTTGTCACACATTTTTTCCGCCCTTCTTAATTCTACACACTACATTTTATTTCTCTCTCGACTGTTCCTCTGTGAACCTTTGGGCGTTTCATACATTTATACAAGTATATCACTTAAGTTTATGCCAATAATCTCAGAACTAAGCCGTCGTAGTGGGAAGCTAGATTTTACGGCACCTTTTCGGTCTTTGTTAACAAGGATCTTCCCAGCATTTCTATTGCTGCATGGTGAGTGCATACGGTGACTTGTGCAGTATCTATCACACTACCTTCAGGGGAGCGCAATAGCTGGCAAAGCCAAACAGCCCATCTATGTGTGTCACACATGACTTGGTCCCTGTACAATATTCTAGACTTTGCCAATAGTGGAGCATATGCGAAATCCAGGAAACAGTTGAGAAGAAGAGGGTGCGATCACTGGAACAAGAGTTTTAGTTTCCTGTTGTTTTCGGATTCCGTCGGGAATCCTTAATCATAGATGATGGTAGGGTAGTCATAGTCATGCGCAGATAGGGTTAAAACATGCGCAGGTTGCACAGTATTTATAGTTCATAGTGGTCATCCACGTGCGTGCGATAATTATTCACTTATGTAGCCACTGCTTGGGACTTAATTGA